TAATTATGACTAAAATCAAAGCAATTGATGGTAAAATGATTGTATTGTAAAAATAAAACCATTAGATACTTTTTTTCAAATATTAAGATGTAATTTAAAAGTGATTAACTTTTATAAAGGTAGCCTTGAAATATCCAAAGCACAGTTGCTGGCTTCTCTTGATCACTTGATATTTGTTAAAAATTGGTTTATTAGGGATAATATACTTTTTTATGGGATTGTATAAGGAGAACTGCAAATATTATTTAATACCGATGATATCACTGCTGTGGTCTAATTTAAGTGATAATATTCAGATTTTTGATAGCATAGTTGATTTAAAAATGAATGGTAAATTTTACTCTTTAAACTTTATGCTGTATAAACTTTTTTTTGTATACTTAATTTATGTGATCAAATTGAATAAGGAATTATCATTAGACAATGGTTGAAAAAAGCAAGTAAAATTTATTGAGATTCTTTACACCCTAAAAGTAAATATATTTGAATATTGTTACTTTTAGACTATAAAAAATGTTTGGTAGTAAGTTGTGGTGCATACTTATCAGCAAGCATGATTATGTGTTGTGAGCTTGCAATAATATTACTTAGCCATACTTTCTGATTACATCATATGTCGTATTGAAATTTTAAAATAGATAATACTCTCAAAAGCTTATCAGCTGAATTTTTTACAACCATAAAAATTTCAAATATTTTTGCTAAGATTATGCTATATTTATTATATTTTTCATTGGTTGTTTAGCTTTTTTTTTGCATATTTTATTAAGGCATTGAAATAGTTCTTTTGAACTTTATGACATGTGCATATTTTTGAAAAAAAATAAATAAAAAAAGCAAGTATTAAAGTTTAATAATGTTATCAGTAATTTTTTTGCTTGTGTATAGTACATATTGCTTGTGTATACATGATGTAATTACAATCATTATCTGAGTATTTAATTTTTTATAATTTTAAAATTTGCCTTCTATAAAAGTTTGTCCTAACTGTATTATAATTGCATTTTTTGATCTATTCAAAAAGTTGTGTGCAATTGTGAATCAAATTTATACCATAAACTATAAATGATATCAGACATGCATGAAGAAACAATTGATGTATTCTATTCCATCTTCTGAATGCATTAATATTACTGCTAGCTATCAGTACGTACTACTTAGTGATATTTATCAAATATCAAAAGTATTCCATCAAACTTTAGCCTTCTTTTTTGCTTTTCACTAAAAATGTTGCTGTCTTTCATTTGTCTCATTTCTATTTACCTTCTCAATTCAATCATTTTCTGTCTTTGACAATTTCTTTTTTTGCTTCACAAACTTTTTCATCATTTGCATTTATATTGCACTGTCACCAATCTTCATTGCTATCTACCAAAAATTTGACGTACAAATTTTTTTGACAACTATTGAATTAATTCTGATTATGTTTTCTTTATATATTTTATTAATAATTTCATGCAATAATTAATAATGATACTGTTGCGCAAGAAATGTGTATGCTTATTTTATTGCTATTTTGAAGTCGTAAATTATAAAAAATCAAACCTTTTCTATAATTTAATAAAGATTTTTTTTACTCAATATAACAACTATTATTATTGATATAACAATTATAACAACTATTATTATCAATATAACAGTTATAATAGCTATTATTAGTCCATTCATTAATAAAGTTATTTTCTATTTTTCTGCCCATAGATAGTGTGATAATTTTTTTTTTAATTGCTTAGAGCGTTTATTATTCGTTTTTGATTATTAGGAATTAATTGCTGTCTTCAGCATATATATCATATACAACAATTTTCCTTACAAATATTTTCATTCAAATTATTAATTTAAATTAGATGAAATTTGTAATGAATAATTTTAATACCATCTGCTATTTTTGTGCTGCCATTTAGATTTTATCAGTGTCAAAAAATTTATTGTATTTTTATTTAGCATTCTTTTATTGAAATATGATATTAAAATTATCAGCTTTATAGATGAAAGATGTAATAGTATGATAATTCATTTTATTGAAATTACTGAACTTTTCGATTTGAGTAAATATCTCATAATGTTTTGAATAAAATTGTGTGGGATGTGTGAGTAATAATGATCTCTAAGATGGACAATACTCTTCTCATTTTTTTGATAGTTTGACTTATAATTTTATGTAAATTAACGTTTCATACCTTCAAATAGTATTTTGAGGCAATTTACAGAACATTTCAGTATGACTGTATGATTGTTCTCTGCTATGCAATGAATTAAAAATGAGGTTAGCAATAAATTTTGTTAAATTTCACCATTACTTTACTTTTTCGGTTTCAAAGCATAATTAAAAACAAATATTCTCTGAAACCTGTTCAGTTGAAAGTCTTAATTGAATTTTATCACTTCATAAGATTGCTGAAAGATATTCTGCTCATTTTCTTAATTTATTGAGATAGTATTACTTATACTCAAATTATGATAGAATTTACTTAAAAATCTGCAAGTTTATTTTTGTTATGACAAGCGACGTAAATTGAAAGATATTAAAAATATTATTAGTTTCTCAAAAAATTTAATTTTTTTCACAACTATTCAATTATATGCATTATTGTGAGTTTAGAATTCAAAATATATGAGGAATCTTTTTTTTTTTCTGTGGTTTTAAACATTTTTTGCATAAATAAGAAACGAAGAACTCTTTGATCAAAATTTTAAATTGATTTTTTTTTTCCATAATTTTTTCAAATACTTTTGCTTAGTCATTTATTTGCGGAATGTACATGTAAAGAAAGTTATTTTATTACATTTGGTATATACCAAAGCAGACATGTGAGGTTCGTTAATTGCTGTACGAGTTGCGCAGTATGCAAGTTATGATGTATTTTTTTGTATAGTTATAAAAAGTTTATTTTTCATGCAAATTGAACAAGCTTGTAGAAACATATATAATTTAAAGAAACATTTCCAAAAGTATTTGACTGTTTAAAATTTTTGATTTTTATGAATTTCTTTTTTATTCTGTTATTATATGATTATTGTTGGTTAGCGTGAATGGTTTATTATATTATATAGTAGTTCTGATACGAAACCCTGATTAATAAATATATATGGACAAATTATATAACAAAAAATTTGAAAAAATAAAAGTATTTTATGAGCAATTCACATGAAAACAAATGTTAAAAAGTTTTTATAAAAGTAGAGAACTGTATGATTGATTTATTCAGTAAAGAATGAACTGAATATAGTCTGTTCTAAATTTTAAATCATTTGATCTATGATTGATTTCTGATTGTAAAAATTATTTAGCATCAATTTATTATGTTTTTTTTAAACTTTTGTAAATTTTAATTATTTTAAAAAAAATGAAAATTGCAAAGCAATAGAAATAATAATTTTTAGATTGTGACACGATGTCAAATAAAGTATGTGCAGAAAATGGCAGAAAAGATGTTATCCATCCACATTCTCAAATGCTTCAGTACCAGGTTCAAATTCCAGAACTTCCTCATTCGGTAAGTTGGTAGTATTGCAATTTTTAAAAGTAGTTTACATTCTTGTTAGTCTAATTGAGAAAAGCAAAAGTTTAATTTTAAAACTACATAGCTGTCTGATATTTAAGTTTAGCTCTACCATGGGATAATGTTTATAAAAGTATGACAAATTAAAAAAGTATATTTTGATTTTTATTTATTTTTTTCCTAGAAATCAATGGCAGAAAAATTTATCTTTTACAGAAATTCAGTTTTCGAAAATTATGGGCTTTTACTGGTCCTGGATTCTTAATGAGTATAGCTTATTTGGATCCAGGAAATATTGAGAGTGACTTGCAATCAGGATCTCAAGCTCAGTACCGTGTTGGTTTTTCAATAGACAAAATAAGAAATATTTTTCGTTTTGCTCATCTTCTAATTGCTGATGATTGGCGTCTGTCATAAATGAATATTATGTAAGTTAATCATTTACAGAAATGATTTATACTTGCTTATTTTAGCTTTTATGGGTTCTATTCTCAGCGCATATTATTGGTTTCTTTCTGCAGAGATTATCCGCTCGCTTAGGTGTTGTTAGTGGTAGGCACATGGCAGAGGTACAATTTTGTTTGTAGATTTAAGAAGACATGAAAATTTTTGAAATTTGTTCAATTGTGATCCATAATTACTAATAATTAGTGATTGCTATGATGAAAAAGTAATCTTTTTTAGGTAGCATATGAATATTATCCGAAAGTCCCAAGATTCTTTCTATGGATTATGATTGAAATAGCAATTATTGGAAGTGATATGCAAGAAGTTATTGGAACATCAATAGCTTTCTACCTTTTATCCAGAGGCTTGTCAGTTATCAAAGTTATATATATTATTTGTTTGTAATCATCTTCAATATTTTATCTGTATTGTTTTTAGTATTCCATTGTATGCGGGTGTTCTAATTACTGTGCTGGATACATTCTTGTTTCTATTTTTGGATACTTATGGTTTTCGGAAGTTAGAAGGCTTTTTTGCTTTTTTGATAACGATTATGGCTGTTACTTTTGGTTATGAAGTAAGTAATTTAATAAAATATTTTTTAAAGAATTGATTGCACTGATAGTTTTAGCAATTTTAATAAATGTAAAGTTTTTCAGTATGTAATAGTAAAGCCAAATCAGCTATCAGTTCTCAAAGGTATGTTTTTACCATGGTGTGAAGGTTGTGGACGTAATCAGTTTTTGCTTGGTGTCAGTATTGTTGGCGCCGTCATAATGCCCCATAATTTATACCTTCATTCCGCACTTGTCAAGGTTTTTAAAAAACCATTTTTTAAAGAGTGAAAAGTAAAGCATAAAGTGTAAAATTTATTTTTATCATTTTTTATTGAAAATCAGTTTATTGGAAATTTGAATATTAAATAATAAAAATATATAAGAATTATTATTTAGTCAGCTTGTGAATAAATCAACTTTTACTCTATGCTAATTTTCATTTTTCATTTTTATTTTTTGATCAACTTTCAAGTATGAACTTTACAATCACTATGGTAATTTTTGCTATTCGAGATAATTGCAATAGTTTATTTAAGAGTCGTAATGTGGATAGAAAGAAGAAAGCAAACGTTGAGGATGCTAATTTCTACTATTTCATTGAATCCGGTATTGCATTATTTTGCAGTTATGTAATTAACGTATTTGTTGTTGCTGTTTTTGCTCACGGATTGTATAACAAAACGAATATAGAAGTGGTACCATATATTTTAATTTAATTCATTTAATACTCTTATTAAGTTATTATTCATATTAGCTTAATTTTATTATAAATTTATCCTAATTAAACTTCAGTTTTAATTAATTACTTTGTTATTTTATTTGACTAATAAAATAGTGTGATTATATTTTTTTTGTGTTGTATCTCAGAGACAAAATTGTGATTTACGAGAGGGTATTATGGATGTTGATACATTTCCTTACAATAATAATACAGTGGAATCTGATTTATACAAGGGTGGTATATTTCTTGGTTGTGAGTTTGGTCTTGTCGCACTTTATGTTTGGGCAGTTGGTATTTGGGCTGCTGGTCAAAGTTCTACAATGACCGGTACTTATGCTGGACAATTTGTCATGGAAGTTTGTTTGATTTTATTCATATTGATATTAAATTTTTTTTTTATAAAACTAAAAATATTTAATTCATTATTGATTAAAAGTTTTTAACAGTATAAATTTAAAATTTTCAAGCAAAAATATCATTAGTAACAAATTGAATTAAATTTTAGGGTTTTTTGCAAATTCGGTGGTCTCGATGGAAACGAGTTTTACTTACACGTACAATAGCAATTGTACCAACATTATTGTTTGCAGTATATTTCAACAATATACATGATTTAACAGGAATGAATGATTTATTAAACTGTGTACAAATGCTACAATTGCCATTTGCATTGATTCCAATGATAACATTTACATCTAGTACGAAAGTCATGCTTGATTTTCGAAGTTCAAGGTTTTTATATTGTTTTTAGTTTTTTTGTTTGTTTAATTATCTAGCAGTTTCTTGCTAGACTACCGTAATTTTTGTAACATTACAAAATTTACAAGAAGTAAAAAAGATGTAAAAAGTTTTTAAAGACTCATCACTTTACATTTTTCAAAATATCTATTTTCATACAATTTCTACTGCTATATTTTATGCTCTTTTTGCAGGTTATTTCAAATACTGGCCTTTTTTGTATCTTGTATTGTAATTATTATTAATCTGTATTTCTTTGCTGATTACATAACTGGACAACTAGGAAACGATTGGTATGTTTGGGTGTTGCTGTTAATTCCATCGACTGGATATTTTATATTCGTTTCTTATCTGGTATGTTGATAAAATAATCATGTAATCATCTAAACTTTTCAGTTTCTCATCTGCTATTATTTCTCTTCAGATTTTAGTTTTTTGAAATTATTTGTGAATTTGTTACACATCAGATATTTTTTCAACAAATATATGTAACTTTAAGATAGTAATATAATGTTTCAGAACTTCTTGTTATTGATATAGACTATGGAGAATGTATTGTATTTGAATTTTATTGTTATAATTAAAATTTTGCTTTTGGGCAATATAATAGTGTATGGTGGTTAAATTAGTTTAACTTTTAAACATTTGTTTTAGTAATTAATTAATTTGTTTATTGCATTATGTGTTGGGTCTTAGTCTTTGCAAATTTTAGATGCTTTTGTGTGTTGCTGCAATGAACATTCTTACATCTTCAAAATGGAAAGCAAGTTTTATTAAATTTGCAGTTGTCATTATGAAAAATTTTCAAACATATTGTTTTATATTTTAGCTTCTAATTTTTAACTATAGTATAAAAGAAAGCTAGAAAAAATTCACAGTATTTTAGGACTTATAATATTTAATTTTTAATAATAATTATTATTATTAATTCATTTTATTTAAGATAATACCTGGGTTTGATCCAGTACACTTCAGTACCAATGCACCATGGCTCCAGGAGGAGCAAAAAATTGAAATTGCATCCTCGACTAGTAACAGTCATTAGGTAAACCTATTTTATTTGTAAACTTTATTCTCTTTAATTTTTTAATGACAAATTTTTGTAATACTTGTTGCGAATACTAATTCATTCTCTTAGGTGCTTTTTAGTAGATACGAAATATATTACTTCCTTCATAATTTGCCTGTAAGTGCAATTATTTTTGCAAGTAAAAAGTTTATGCATTACCATTTGTCGCGAAAAAAAATAAACATTTATTATTTCATTTTTTGTAAAATTTGAAATGGCTTGTTTTTTATTTTTTGTTAATTATGTATGAAGCATAGCTGCTATAATTACACGCAACTTAATTGTTTGATTACTGTTAAAGAAGAGTAAATGTGCTAGAAGATGTGTCTTCATGATTCAGTTTTGTTGTAATTCTGAAGTAAGTACTTGTCTTCCTTCCCATATGTTAAAATTCTTGAAATTCTTACACCTTTGTACTCTTTGTTAGTAGTTTCATTTGAATTTCATCTACAATTTAGGTATTTGTTCCGCTCAAATTGTCAGAAATTAGTAATGTTTAGAGTACAATAATCAAATTGATGTGAAGTCAAAATTTCGATTCAGTTTTGATTGCAAGTTTTTACTGCATGAAAATATTTTTTTACACAATTTCATACTGCTTTTGCTAATTTAAAGAAAATAATTTTTGCGCAACAAACTTAATTTATAAAAAAACATAAAAATACAACTTCATTTATTATATACTAATTGTGTAGAACAAGTGATTAGAAGAAAAATTTGCACTACTCTCTAAACTATTCTCTAAATACTTTTAGTTAAATGAATTTCTTGATGACATATTTGTAATAGTATCTTTTTCTATAACGCATAGATAACAGTATTTGCTGATTTGAGTAAATAACTAATGTTTATGTTTTTTTCGTGATTTGATTCGTTTTTAAAAAAATTAAAATTATCACTTTTTGTCAGACCATAATAATAAGAATAAAATTTGACCATTTAAATTATAATACAACATTACAAACATGTTAAAGGGCAATTTATGAATTGTAATGCAAATTAGAAATTTTTGTTCTCATGGCACAAATTTGTTACATTTTTCTTTGCAAATTCATATACATTTGCTTTTTTATATAATCTTTTCTGACTTTCATAAAATGAAAATGTGTACTATTTTGGTTCTAAATTCCTTCTACATGATGGAAAAAAAAACTTTCAGAATGTAGTACTACAAAAGTCATAAATTGTTAAATAAATTTGAAAACTTTTACTTTTTTTTCAACAAATTTTTTCTGAGAGAGCAGTAATAATTGACCAATAAGACGTGAATAATATTTAGTAACATCATGCAGGATTAAAAAATGAGTTTATCACAATTAATAAAAAAAAATTCTATCAAATTTTCCAAAATGTTTCTATATACTTGCCGTAATATCTAAATGTTCATTTAAAAAAGTGTTTCTAATACAAAATTCTTAATTGTTTTATCGTTTAGTTCGTTTTTTATCAGTAATTATTATACTAATTTTAAAAATATAAGTTTAAAAGATATTATCAATAACTGGAATTTAATGTGGCATTAACAACTTCTTAATTTTTTCTTTCCTTTACACAGTGTATGAAGAATAGTAACATTTTAAAATTTGGATGTACTATGATATTTCTATTATCAAATAAACAAACAGCTGCTATGACTATTATCTTACAATTTAAATACATAAAGTATCACGTGTGATTATCATTTTAGTAGATTAAAATTATCGAAATATTCCATAAATACAGTTATGAGTATTAATTCATTTTTTTATAAGGCAAGCATAAATTCCTGCAAAAACGGCAGGTACTATCTGAAAATAAAAAGCATTAAATGACTTTTATTTATGACTGAAAGTTAAAACTAGAGTCCCAAAAATCTTATTATTAAAAAGTTATTTATAATAAAGTAAAGTAGAGGTAGATGGATAGATACTTTTTTACTCATTACCTAGACAGCACGCAGTATTAAAATTCCAGTTATGAGAAGTGATAAATCTATTAAATAGATGAGCAAACTCTGGGTATATAATAAAAGAAAAAACAGTACCATTACTGTACTGGCTATAACTAAAAGCCATGCAGCTAAATGCATTACATGTAGGAGGTCAGACCGAAGCAACATATAACAAGTCTTGGTATGGACAACTGTTTCATTTGGATGATAGAGATCAGTTTCTAAACACTCTTCAATCAAACCGTTTGCACAGCTAAAATTGTATAATTCATATTTTTACCTCCATATTTGATGCAGAGAATTTGAAATATTAATATAGTTTCTTTTCCCTTTAATAATAAGAAGAGTTAGATTCAATGACCCATTACAAAACTAAGTAATTTCTTTTTATGAAACTGACCATGACAATGGAAGTTTTTGCTTTGTTTCTTTTTGACGCATAAACCATTTTGATGTTTTCCAAATTTTCAAATCAGCAGTACCATTCACTCCACAACAATTAAACTAAAAAAATATCAAATATTCTAATTATTTCTACAATATAAAATAATAATAATTATAATAATCATTATTATTCTTATTATTATTAGAGTATATTTTAAAATTTTAGTGTTTATACCATAATAAGTTGAAGTGCAAATTTCATTTATCCAAAAAAGCAATTCAAAAATTTGCATATGCCAACAATTTTAATTACATTGCTTTGTAGTTCATCCCACGCGAATGTTACTTTTTCCATTTCGGGTAATCCATAAAGTTCTCGAAGTGATGTAAGCATTTTGAGGTGCAACGGTATTTTATGTTGTAACTACAGTATTCACATTTACAATTCAATAAAATTAATAACTGAATCATTTTTAGAAACAATTGTAAAATAAAAAATAAAATTTCACTACGTTTTCATTTTATAATTTATTACCAGAAAATATGATATAGTTAGAACTTTTTTCTATCAGTAAGTAATGCATAATATGAATATGAAGTAATTGCAAACCTGATATCTAAATACAAAACCCATTACTCCACCCATAAACATCATAACAAATATCACAATACTTGCTGTTGCATACTGAAAATGATTATTTTATTAAATTTTTGCAAAATAGCAAATTTTTTTTTCTTTTTTTTCAAAAAGAAGAAGAGTACTTATCAAGTTGAAGAATATTTTATTCATCATTTATGCTCAATCATTGATGATATTTCTGAAAATTATTGCATTTGCAATTTTTTTCAAGTACTAATAAAACATATTAAAAATTCAAAGCAAAAAAAAAAACTTTTATTTAAAAAAAAAATTGGTATGAGTCTTAGTTCTACCTCAAATGATAACGCTATTATCTATAATATTATTAAGATCAAAAGAGATTAAATAATTTTAAATTAAATTTTATGCCAATTGTATAGATCAAAACAAAAACTAACTGAATACACAAAACATCGCATTTCTTTCATAATTGCATAAATTGAAATTGTAGCATTGATAAATGCAAATATTGAAGTAACAATCATAATACGAGCAACATCAACGTATAGACTTGGGTGAAGTAATTCAGCATATTGTGATCGACTACGCACTAACCAACAACCGTATAGCAGTACGAAAAATAGAATTGCCTGTAAGAAAACATAAATTAGCAAGAAAAAAAAAAAGGAATATTTTAATAATTAATTATTTAATGAAAATTCTAAAAGAGTGTTATGCAAATTTTGCAAAGATTTAGGTATGATATTTTGATAAAACTTTTTTGTAATAATCTAATAGTAACAAAAATTTGCTTCTTTTATGCTCTCACGAAGAAAAAAAAAAGATTTACAAGTGAAAAAATTTGTGAACTGAAAAAGAATAGTCGTATCGTTCTACCAAATGTACCATAAGCTGTTGTCCATTGGTCAGTAATTCCCATAATAAAATTTTCAAAAAAGATTTCAGACAAAAATTAAAACTGCTCAGTAAGAAAAAATTGATTTCAATAAGCAAGCATTTCATTTATAGCTCTTCGCAAATGACGAAAAAAATTTCTTAAAAATTTTGATAATAGTATTAAAATCATAGTGTTATCCATATAAAGTGCTAATTTCTGTCAAAATAGATTACTCTTTATAAAAAATGTAATTTATCACTTTTTTAAGATAAAAAGAAAGTGAACTAATAATGAAATTTAATCCTGTTTGAATTTTTTTATAACAGCAAAAAATTCTTTTAGTTACATTACAAATAAGTCAAAATAATTTTTGCATGCAAAATGCAATTAATACAAAAATTTTTGTAAAAGACTAAAAAAATTGACAAAATGGGTATATTGAAATAAATTCAAGATTCTGTCTGTCTGCTGTAACAAAAATAAATAAGTTAATAAGTAAATAAATTAATAAGTAAATAAATAAATAAATAAATGAATAATGAAAGTTGTTATCAAAGTAGTTAGTCATTCACTTAGTCAGTCAATCATGTAATGTCAGTAAAAATTTGTCTGGTTAGGGGTGTGTGTGGGTGTGTGTGTGTGTGTGTGTGTGAGAGAGAGAGGAAAATATTCCAGTTTATGTAACTTGAAAAGAAATTGAAAGTAGGCAAATTCATAAGCGAATATCATTTAGTTCATCTATATGTAATGAGAAATGAATGGTATGTTAAATGTTATATGAGGATAGATTATTGTAATGTATGAGCAAAAACGATAAAACATTCAGTCCATACTTGATCTCTTATCATTTTAATCATTTTCTATTCTTTTTTCAATCTTTAACAATTTTTGTATAAAAAATCTTGACATCAATAATATTTTTTCTAAACAAAATTATGAAAATGTTTGATATTATGATCTATTATTATTAAACTAACAATTTTAATTAAAGAAAATTGTATTAATTAACCTTTTAAAATGTACAACTAATTACGAATATATTTTTACACTGTCAACTATGAGCTTTATACAATACTTGTTGCACTCCTTCCTCCTCTATAAAATATCTTTGCTTTTAAAATACTTAACGATTAAATACTACTCAACAACACTTACTTCCCTACATGAATAGAAGAAAAAATTTTATTCGAATACTACTTTCTAGTATACAACTGAATGCCATGTAAAGTTGTCAAAAGAACTTTGCTAAACTTTCCAGTTAACAAACAACCATATCTACTTGCATTTATAAATTTTTATTTTAAAGCTGTATATGCTTGACATATTCACCATGGCTCTTCCCCTCACCCTACCCATTTCTCCTTCAGTAACTGATCATCTACCAGACTTATGACCTAAATATATGCTGTAGAACGCTGCCCACACCATCTGATATTGCTGATAAATCATTAAAAGTTTGGATAACTTTAATTCATGTTTTCAGAAACTTTTGATTAGAATAAACAAATCCAATAACGGTTGTAGCGATGGACCATGACACAATTTACCTCCATTACGAAATTATTCCTTCTGCATTATCCTTTCCTCTGCATAGCGCTTAAATAAATCGCTAGAAAGAGAGATGAGACAAAATCATATTCTGAAGTACACGAGAATATAAATTTTTTCCTTTGCATAATTCACTGCCATTTTTTTTCAAGCATTCATGAAATGCTTACGCGACAGAATTATTCCGTAACTCTCTAATAATTTGAAGCGAGACTATATTAACGCTGAGAAGATAACTGCTACAAAACAGTTTATAATTATTTGCCTTTAGAACGCATATATCCAAGCATTTTCAAAACATCAAAAAAACATCAAGCTTGATAAAATCTTGAACAATAAAATTCAGAATTGGAAACGCTATATTCCATATTAAGCATTGAATTTATTTTTCATCGATCGAATTTTGGCCATGATGGTAGTAGGATTTGTTGATTTTGCAATGACTCGTAATTCTTCACTGATTCTAAAACAAAAATAGCGTACATGCACCAATTAATTATCACATTTGCTTACAGCCACAATTTTTGTATCAGTTGTGATAAGAATATCGATTATTTATTTCTTAGATACTTTTTTGAAAAAACTAACCGCACACGCATGAAAGGATTGAAAAGTTTTTCTGCAGCAATTGTAGAAGGGACAGTAAATTTTCTAGCCGTTTGCTGCTCTTCAGCCCATGCTAATTTTTTTTTGGCTTCCTCGTTATTAGGCTCAACAGAACAAGCGAATTTCAAATTGCTTACAGTATAGTCATGTCCACAATACACTTTCTAAAATAAACTACTTAAGTAAGTATGAACTGTTTAATACATTTTATCGAAACAAGATATTACTTCCTAGAGTCTGAAATAAAATAAAGCACCGTATCATTTGGTAGACTACTCAGCTTATCATTCAAAGCGATATCCATTTCTGCAGCAGTACCTTCAAAAAAACGTCCACACCCTGAAAAATATTATAAATATATTTAGGTAGTAACGGTCAGATTTACATTAGGCTTAATTAACATAATTACTTAAGACCAAGAAATGATAATTTATTAAAAACCTTACTTATTTTTCAGCTCCATAATAAAATTATGAGCATGCAATCTAAGAATTCACTGCAATTGCTAATTTTTTAATCAATTTAATACATTTAAAAGCTATCCTGACTCGACAACAAGCAAAAAGAGTTCATAAATGAAAGACAAATATATATATATATATTTATTTATTTATTTATTTATTTATCTAATTTATTTATTTATTTAGGCAGGATGGGGACATTACTTTCATTCTCTGATTGACTATTGTAGTTGAGAATTTTCGGGTTAGCCCTATCAATGATCTCGACTGGAGCATAAAATTAGCCAACCCTACTTTTAATTAAGCTAAGCCCATCGATTTAAGTCAGTTTGTATGATAATTTTTGATAGTTTCTTCATACATGATGAACAGCGAAATTAGTTTTTACCTGCAACAAATAACGTGTCTCCCGTAAAGACAACTTTGTCTCCATTGTTATCGGTGACATAATAGCATATCGAACCAGTAGTATGACAAGGTGTATGTATGCATTTTACAACAAGGTCACCAACCTACATTCAGTTATAAAAGAAATAATTGAAAAATTAAAAATTATGAATCATAAATTTGTAAACTAACCATTTCATACCGCAGCAAAAATACAGATTATTTTCCGAAATATAAAAATTTGGCAGCAATCTTACCTACATCATGGCTACTAAATAAGCTAAATGATAAAATACCTTGAAAGTATCACCATCCTTAATTTTATTAGTAATATTCTTAATCCGACTATCACCTCCATAAATAATCAAATCCTTATAGTATTCAGGAAGCTCCTGTGTCGCACCAGAATGGTCCCTGAATTCATGATACCAATCAGTTTTTGGACATTATACTTAACACCAATTAACTACTAGAATGAGAAATTTACCAGTGATGATGTGTAACTAAGGCAGAAGTGAGCTTTACGCCTTCTTTTTTGACAGTATCGTTTATCTGAAATTTCTGCATTCAACTTGTATCAGTACATTTAAAAACTAAGTCATCCTGTTTAAAATTTTACTTTTAGCTCGACAAAAAGCAAATATAGAGGTCCACAACTAAAAACTAAAGATTACATAACGCAAACTTACGTCAGATAAATTAACTGGATCTACAATGGCTGATTCCTTAGTACTTTCATCGACTAAAAGATACATAAAATTATCACTCAAGGCACGAATTGGTATGACTTTCATTCTCTGATTGATAAATGTAATTGACACCGTTCGAATTAACTCTACCAATGATCTCGCCTGTTGCATAAAATTAGCACAGAGAGATCTAAACAACTATGATACTATGATATTATAATGCTCGCCCTTTAAAACCAGTATTACTTGCCCACATATATAATGTTCATAGCATAAATGCATTTCTAACAAAGAAATGCATTTATGTAGAAAAATGAAATGAACATTGAACATATTTCAAGAAAATCATCCGACCATTTATCGCTATCGTTACCATCCGTTCACTGAAATAGAAATACAGAATGCTTTTACCAGTTCTAAACCAGCAGTTTAAACATTGAAATATACAAATAACTACATGATTATTCAACTTCTCAGTAAATACAGGCTATTTCTTATCATTTTATGTCTTATTTGTAGTTAGAAAGCGTTAAAAGAGATAGATTTTTTCAAGTGTTACAAATTTAAGTAACTCATAAATGACTTCATTACGGTAAATGCATGAAGATCACCAAGCTTACATTTCGGTTCAATCAGTACAATAAAATTCTTTTTATTGTATAAATCACACTATTTCCGCAATACTAAAGTCTTGATACACAAAAAACAACTGAACACAACAATTCAACAAAACGTAAATGCGTAATGAACAAGTATTCCACGAAATTTTGTTCAGAATTTAATGCTTGTTGTGAATGTGAACACTACTAAAAAAAGATATCAAATTAATCTCAGGATAAAGTGTAACCTACAAATAGTCAAGAACAGATAATTACAAGCTAATAATACGCCTCATATTCCGCCACAACACATTGCCTTAGATCTTCATCGAGTTCGACTGCAAAGTTACAGTATGATTAACAAAAGGCATACAACTTATGGATGAAGGTGTAATACTCTTTCAATTTTTGAATGATCTTGTTTTAAACTCTGAATAGAAGAAAATTTCGAAATACTTTGAATATAGGTAAAACCTGCACAGTTAATACAATTAGTAAAGTCTATATACTTGACTTACATCTTCAGGACGAGTTATATTATGAGTAGCTCCATTCAAGTTCGTTAAGCCAGAATTATGCAAAGAAATTTGTTGATTACCAAAATTTTGAGTGGCACGTACCCGTTCTTCATGTGATTCAGTAATTACCGAATCTATTATGGATATAACGCTATTCTTCGCTAGTTCAGCCATCGAAGACACCTCGCTTGCTTGCTACAAAATATTAAACAATATGCTAACTGACAATGCGTTTCCTCTGAATGAAGAAGGATGACCAGAAATAACCTCACGAAGTGAAAATATCTAGAACTATAAAAACCACGAATCATTAACTTTACTGCAGAGAGAACAAGCCTCACAACGATTATGAATATTAAAATTTGAAGTCTGTCTCATTTACAGTGGGCCTAGTTCTTATTTCAGAAACTAGTTCTTATTAGGATCTGAAAAGCATCGATTCGTTTCATCTGACCGAGAGTTCTAGAAGTCGAACTGAATGTTAGGACTTCTTATCAGTAACATCCAACACTACGTTTTAACTAAAACTTTTCAGAACAACTTTTTCAAGCAGTAAATTCATACACCAACTAGGCAATCAACAAAGCAGTTTTCCACAATTCCCTTCACAAAACATTTGTGCTGGAGAAACAACAAAAGGAAGATATGCGATAAATCTTACATTTGTATAACTACAATGTAAAGTTCGACACTGAAATTTTCATCCTCACGACTTACTAAACATATCAAGCATGCACATTTTTCAATACAAATTTATAGCAGCTTGACTCATGACAACCTCATTGAGAAAATTTTAGGTGAGCATTATTTGTTTTAATTTGAAATAATGTGGATCGCTAAGTGTGCATTATATTCAAAATCACTTGGTAGAAATTAATATGGCATTGACTATACAAATTACTAGGAACTGTAAGGTTTATAACAATATAAACTGTTAGTAATCTTAATCAAACATAGACTACCTCACAACAAGCTTCAAAATTTTTTAATTTTAAAACTTGAAGTCGCAAAAAATAATTTGACCTGATTAACTCGTTTAACTTCAGCTGCCTTCTTTTTTTTCAAATTACTAGATGGTTTTCCAGCAGATTCGCCAGAAAATTTTTCCATTGGCGGTGTCAGTGGGTCATTATCAGGAATTTCCAAGCATGAATCCATAAAGGGATCACGAAAGGTATATAATCGCTGACAAAGAATCCTGAAAAGTCCAACAAGTTTCTTATTTTCATTTTTCCCATCGCAAGTGAAACTGCTTACATGGCCTTGAATTTGTAAAAAACACCATTTAATAATGTAGACATAATCAACGTTTACAAAACAAACCTTTTCAAACGTTTCAAATAATTGATTTCCTTCTTAACATGGTATAAACGATTGCGTAACCGGTTGTTGAACTAAAAATCTTAAGACCTGAACAAAAAATTATTACAAACAAACAAAACCATGGGCTACTACAAAAACAAACTAAAGAAAATCCATAGTTGATGGAAACTAACGAGGCAAACACAAACATTAATTTAAAAACTGAAAAGTTAGTTACAGGTGCTTTTCACTTATATTGATAATATACAGAAATTTCTCAATATATTTCTCCAATGATCTGTGAGGGAAGTCAACAACGAGATATATCAGTCAGATTGCCAACCACATACAAAAAACAAATTTGTTCTCTTAAACTGAAATGTGAAAACAGTGATGACGAAGAGTTAAAGAAATGATGAATATACCATATAGATGTAGTCGTAATTCTGCTGCAAATAAAACTTTTTGCGACGATACAATTGACATACTGGCGAAAGAGTTTCATTTGAAACTGAACCTGATGCTGCAATTGTTTGTGATTGAAAATCATGTAATTCGCTGCACGAAGGCCGGCGGAGAGTACTGTCCATGTCGATATAGAGCTTTAAATCGTCTAAAAAGTACTACGCACTATAAATGTAATGCATGATTGTAAGTTAAAAAGTTAATGATAACAACTATATTCGATTGTGATGAACAGTGAGCTTACTAATTCTTTAGCTCATACATGACAGTACGACTGATCTACAATAACTCCAAACAATTTCCATCGTCATAAGATTGAAATTATCAAACTAATACAGTAGAAATAAATGAGTGAAAATGAATCGATATTCAGAGTAGAAACAATGTACATGCTTGTAATTTTCACCAACAAGTTTCTAATATATGGACAAATAGATTAGATTATCGAAATTTCTGAAATGTGTATCTTTCATTTTTCAGGAAGCTATTGTAGTAGACTTATCTCCAAATTCAGCAGACACAAAAGTCATATTTTCTACAACAATTAAGCCTATATTATGAGGTAAATGGTTAAGACTACTTGATAGCTCATACAATAACTTCCCATTCAAAACAAAGACATCCAATTCAAATTATTTCAAATAATTATCAATCTCCGATTCTTGACAAGAGAAGTTGTAATAAATTTAACAACTGTAGTCGTTTCCAAACATAGGCTTATGCATACACTACGTCACATAAGAAGATGCTATACTTGTGCATATTAACCAAACTCATGTCCAAATACAACCTTAGCACAGGTGTTCCACCACGAAAGTCATCCAGCATGTCAGCCATGGAATAGCGCTGCGACATACGAAGATTCAGACTGTAGCAGCATATTACCGACGTTAAAAAAGGGGTGTATGAAATTGGAAGACGTAAGCAAATTATTTTAATCTATGAAAAGACTAAGAATTTTTGCAATCTAACTAACATCTGAACGGTACTCTTCGTACAACAATTAGGGATATTCCTAGAATTCTTATATAACTACGTATCCTACATGTTACGCAGATAGCTATTATGGTTGCGCTGTTTCTGCTAACACTCATCCAAAACTTCTTATCAGATTCTCCCAAAATCTCTTATTTATTTGGCACTTATGGTAGCATGTTTGTACCTATATTTTTAAAAATTTGAAGTGACTTGATTCTAGTTAAGTAATAAGTACTTGTTTTATGCAGTATAGAAAGGACGTGCTGTATGAAAGTACCTTATTTGTCTCTAAGCAGTGCAAATAAAACGTAACTTTACGAGTAATTTTTTGGCTTTGTTAATTAGAATTTATTCTGTAAAAGCCTTTTATGCATTGCTTGTTAATCATTTTCATTGTTTATCCCATGTAGTTTTATAGTAACAAATTTTACTTGTGAGCATATTTGATATTCAACAACTGTGCTAATTGTCAAATCTTTTTCTTCAAATTACCATATCTAAATTGTTCTTTTTAATGAAAATAATACATAACGATTCTGTTCTATGAGTGAAAAAGAGAAAAAGAGGTTCAGCTGCTTGCACCAATTTTTGTTTTATCTTCAGCTTACTTTTTGGCATCTAACTCCCACCAACTACATTCCCTCCCATGCATTCATTTTGTGCTACCTTCTACCCAATCATCATGTTTTTGGAAGTATGAGAACAACTCTCATAACTGTTTGATATATCAGTAAATTAACATCTTCGTTCAAGCAAGCATTCTCATGTGCAGTGATCAGTTTTCCTCTCTTCTTATATATATATATATAATTGTATATATTATTT